GTGAACTGCTCTCTGCTGGGACACTATGTTGGGGTTCAGGCTCTGGATGAGCTTCTTGTGTAGGGTTATGGGCTGCTGCCGATTCAGGTTCGGTGGGGCCCTCTGCTGTTGAGGTTGCAAGTACTGGATTCAGTGCTGGCAATGGGTCTGGTGCTGGTTGTTCTGCTGGTTCTGGGACTGGTTCCATCTGGGTCTCTGGGACTGGATCCACTACTGCTGTTGCAGACATTGGCCTGGGGTCCGGGTCCATCACCTCTGACCGGGTCCTGATAGAAGTTTCCGGAACAGAGCTAGGCGTCACGGCTTGTTTAGCCTGGCTGCGGGTGACCATTCCCACCCTCTTGGCCCGCTTCACATGATGGCCAAGTCTTCCCCCAACAGCATGGGGATGGGACAATCATCATAGACTGCAAAAGTCCACGTTCCTGACCAGCTCTGGTACTGGACAGGCAACTTGGCTGTAGGCAAATCGAAAGAGTTGGACTTGAAGGGTTGAATCGTCACTTGGATCTCTGAGTTGATTAAATTGGGGTCCACTAAGGAAGCATGGATAGCTGACACTTGTGCTCCGGTGTCCCTCCACGCGGTGACCTTCTTCCCGCCCACACTCACAGTTTCCCTCCGCTCCAAGGGTATCTGGGAGGTATCTGGGCCTGCGGACCTCTGGTGTGATTCCGGTGCAATGAACTGTAATCTGTTGGGGTTCTTGGGGCAGTTGGCCTTTACATGCCCCAGCTCGTTACATTGAAAACATCGTCCAGCTGACGGGTCACTGGGGCGAGGTGGGTTGCTGGAGAATGGGGTGGTGGGACGATAAGGTGTCTGGAGGGTTCTTCGGGGGGGTAGGTGGGGCCTTTGGTGGCTCCCGGTAATAGCGTGTGATCTGGGGTTGTCCCTTCTGGTCTCCGCTCCAACAGCGACCAGTTTTCTTCTTCTCTGCCACCTCCACACATCTGGCTCCAATCTCTCCTGCCTCGATTACAGTTTTGGGCTTCCCATCTAGGATGTATCTTTCTATTTCCTCAGGAACACCCTCTAAAAATTGTTCCATTTGCATTAGGAAGGGCAAATTTACTGGAGATTCAACACTTGCTCCTGATATCCAGGCATCCCAACGTTTCACAATGTGGTAGGCATGTCGGGTAAATGACACGTCTGGTTTCCACCTTAGGGCTCTGAACCTCCGAAGAGACTGCTCAGGTGTGATCCCCATTCTGACTCTCGCCTTGGATTTAAACAGTTCATACTTGTTCATGTGTTCTTTAGGCATTTCAGCTGCCACCTCAACTGAGGGTCCACCGAGCTGCGGCCTCAGCTCTACCATGTATTGGTCGGTAGAGATGCTGTACCCAAGGCAGGCCCTTTCTAAGTTTTCTAAGAAGGCCTCAGTATCATCACCTGCCTTGTAGGTGGGAAACTTTCTGGGATGGGAAGTGGTACCTGGAGAAGGATTGCTAGGGTTTGTTGGTATATTCTGCTGAGCCTTTATCTTCTCCATCTCCTCCACATGCTTCCTCTCTTTTTCCTTTTCCTGCAGTTCTTTGGCCCTTGCCTCCATTTCTTTGGCCCTTGCTTCCATTTCTTTGGCCCTTGCTTCCATAGCTGTCCTGTGAGCAGTCACTTGGTGTTGTTCTGCCTCTTTCGCTGCCTCCCTTTCTTTGTCCTTTGCCTCCATCTCTTTGTCCTTTGCCTCCATTGCTCTCCTGTGAGCAGCTTCTAGAGCTTTTTCGGCTTCTTTCATTGTCTCCAGTTTGGCTAACTCCAATTTGTGTAGTGCCTTGGTGTCTGTCATCTTTACCTCTCTGTTTTTAACTAACTTTACACCCGAGGGTTAGAAATAAAACAAACAAAACTTGGCTTGTAAAATTTTGCCCTGCTGGAATAGGATACCTATTCTCTGATAGTGATTGTCAGCCTACAGAAAAAGACAATTCCCTTTGTCTCTGCTCTGGCTCCAAATCAAAGCAAAAAAGCTCCACTACTTGGAAACCTCCTTTCCAGCAGCCCCAAAGGAAAAAAAAATCCTTTTCAAATCTGTGCTCCTTTTAAAAAAAAATCAAAATCCTAAAAAAAAAAAAAACCCTACCACTTTTGTCTCCAGGCAAATGGGTAGAACACCCCCCTATTTACTTTTAGGGGAAAAAAAACCTCTGGTTTGCGAAGACTGTGAATTTCCCTGCAGGAGGTTAAGTACACTTCCTCTAGGCAAAGAAAACCTGCAATTCACAAAGATAATCCCCTTTTGTCTCTGCTCTGGCCCCAAAGCAGAGAAAAAACTAGCTGCTTTCAGTTGGACCTCCTTTCCAGCAGCCCCAAAGGAAAAAAAAAATTCCTTTTTAAAATCTGTATTTCTGGCTCAAAAAAATCTCAAATTGATCTCAAAAGGATTTCAGGTTAATCAGCAGCAGATCGAGGGAAGTGATTATTCCCCTCTTTTCGGCACTGGTGAGGCCACATCTGGAGTATTGCATCCAGTTTTGGGCCCCCCACTTCAGAAAAGATGTGGACTAATTGGAGAGAGTCCAGCGGAGGACAACTAAAATGATCAGGAGCCTGGACACATGAGTTACGACCAGAGGCTGAGGGAACTGGGCTTGTTTAGTCTGCAGAAGAGAAGAGTGAAGGGGGATTTGATAGCAGCCTTCAACCACCTGAAGGGGGGTTCCAAATAGGATGGAGCTCAGCTTTTCTCAGTGGTGGCAGATGACAGAACAAGGAGCAATGGTCTCAAGTTGCAGTGCGGGAGGTCTAGGTTGGATATTAGGAAACACTATTTCACTAGGAGTGAGGTGAAGCACTGGAATGGGTTACCTAGGGAGGTGGTGGAATCTCCATCCTTAGAGGTTTTTAAGGCCCAGCTTGACAAAGCTCTGGCTCGGATGATTTAGTTGGTGTTGGTCCTGCTTTGAGCAGGGGATGGGACTAGATGACCTCCTGAGGTCTCTTGCAGCCCTAATCTTCTATGATTCTTTGTCAAACAGAGAATGTGAGAGTTAATATTTATTGGAATGGATAACCAATACCCACAACACAATTTGCCCAATTCAGGTAAAAATCAGAACCAACATTACTCTTGTAAAGAGAGTTACAGGTTTCCAGGAATGTATTGTTATACTGAAACATATTAATGACTGCCATCTGGTATGTATTTGATCTGAAGACATTCACAGACCTCTTCCATGCCAGTGGGCCTGTTATGCATACTTCAGACTCAGAAGGCTCATATAAATCAGCCTAGGTAGGAAATGGTTTTCCCATTCCACAAAAATTTTGGAGATTTCCAAAATGTGCCTGTCTTGAATTGATTCAAATAGTCAAATCTCAAAATGCTTTGCAAACTGACATACCTCACCCCTAAAATCAGTTCAGATCAATTGAAATGTTTCATTTAAATAATGTTAATCCTTTTCATTAGTATAAATTAAGTTCACTTTCAAAATGAAAAGCTTTTTAAACTGAAAAAATATTTGTTTAGTTTAAAGTATGCTGAAACAGGATTTTTCATCAATTTCAAAGTATTTTTTCCAGCTTTTTTAGTTGGGGTGTTAATCGAAATTAACCCTTTCCAACTGACAGTTTGAGTTTTGTCAAAGTGGCATTTTTCAGGAACAAAAAACTATTTTGTCAAAAAAATTCCCAATCATCTCTACAATTACACCCTTTTAGTGAAACAAATGCAAACAATGAGAGTATTTCCTATGGCAGGTCAGATTTCAGCCATGCATACTGAATGGCTTCATAAATGATCTGGAGGATGGTGTGGATTGCACTCTCAGCAAATTTGCGGATGATACTAAACTGGGAGGAGTGGTAGATACGCTGGAGGGGAGGGATAGGATACAGAAGGACCTAGACAAATTGGAGGATTGGGCCAAAAGAAATCTGATGAGGTTCAATAAGGATAAGTGCAGGGTCCTGCACTTAGGATGGAAGAATCCAATGCACCGCTACAGACTAGGGACCGAATGGCTAGGCAGCAGTTCTGCGGAAAAGGACCTAGGGGTGACAGTGGACGAGAAGCTGGATATGAGTCAGCAGTGTGCCCTTGTTGCCAAGAAGGCCAATGGCATTTTAGGATGTATAAGTAGGGGCATAGCGAGCAGATCGAGGGACGTGATCATTCCCCTCTATTCGACATTGGTGAGGCCTCATCTGGAGTACTGTGTCCAGTTTTGGGCCCCACACTACAAGAAGGATGTGGAGAGGGTCCAGTGAAGGGCAACAAAAATGATTAGGGGTCTAGAACACATGACTTATGAGGAGAGGCTGAGGGAGCTGGGATTGTTTAGCCTGCAGAAGAGAAGAATGAGGGGGGATTTGATAGCTGCTTTCAACTACCTGAAAGGGGGTTCCAAAGAGGATGGCTCTAGACTGTTCTCAATGGTAGCAGATGACAGAACGAGGAGTAATGGTCTCAAGTTGCAGTGGGGGAGGTTTAGATTGGATATTAGGAAAAACTTTTTCACTAAGAGGGTGGTGAAACACTGGAATGCGTTACCTAGGGAGGTGGTAGAATCTCCTTCCTTAGAGGTTTTTAAGGTCAGGCTTGAGAAAGCCCTGGCTGGGATGATTTAACTGGGAATTGGTCCTGCTTCGAGCAGGGGGTTGGACTAGATGACCTTCAGGGGTCCCTTCCAACCCTGATATTCTATGATTCTATGATTCTATGATAATGGTTTCCCTGGTTGTACATGCAGAGGCTACGATATTTGTTGAAGGCTGGGTATCAGAGAGGCAGAAGGCCAAGAGATGGAGTTGTGAGCATGACCGTGAAAAGGAAGCACAGAGATTGAGCTGGCTGGGCACAGAGCTCTTTGAGTGGCAGACTTGGGGATTTCTGAGGAAGGAAACTGCTCGTTTTTTTGTTTCTACTCTGTTCAGGGAGACATGATTTACCTGACTTGTTTCATCTATTCCTCCCCCAAACAACATGGCCCTGAAGACCCCAACTATTGGCTAACGATGCAGAACAAAACAGGCAGCCATATGTATATACTTACCAGCTTCAGGTTCAAGGGTGGGTGCTGGAAACCCCTCGACTATTCCTTCTGGACAATCTGAAAATGCCATTAGGATTATCAGTTATTTCATGGACAATCACATAATCAACTAGGAAGCAATTCATGTTACAAAGATCACAGTCAAGTCAATATTTTCAAGTTTCATAAGGAACAAAATTTGTAGAAATTAGAGGAAATCCAATTTTTTTAGCTGAAATAGTTTTTTAACCAAAAAACAAAAGTAAACAAAATAAAATTTCTGCACAGAAACATTTCTGGGGGTTGAATATTTCTATTGTTTTCATGAGTGACTAGAATATGAAAACTGACTTTTTTCAGTAAATTTGTTTTGGTTTTGATAAAAACAATCATTTTTTAGAAAACTGTTAGTGAAATATTTTTTATTTCTGGTATTTCAGTGAACAACCAGTATTTTTTCCCCAGGGGAGGGGAAGGGAATGGCCTTTTATAGACATCAGCAGTAGGCACATCTGGTAAGTAATTCCACTTGTATCATTGGAGTGACCATGGTCTATAATGACCTACTTTCTTTAGATGGTGAATGTGATTCTTTTTCTCTCTTAAAGAAGCCAAAGAATATATCTGAAAAAAAAAAACAACCTCAATTAGGCGAGTCAGTTATTTCACAATACATTGACAATAATTCAGTCCTTTAGAACACAACTTTTAGGCGGCAAAGATTTAGGAGAAAAATATATTGATGAAATTATACCACATTTATTTCTGTCTACTCCCCATCAATCTTGTCACTAAATCTCTATCTTATCATTATCCCATGTTGAACACCCACTTAGTGTGGCACTGTGTCCTTCTCTAGAGGTGCTTGGGACACTTACAGAAGTTGATGTCACCTCTATTTGTGGTTGAACTAAAGGGGAACAAAGTGACACTTGGAGTGGGAGTGGTTTATATATCCATTTCTGTCTGTTCATATGACTCAAACCATCATCTAGATCTTATTACTTCCCAAAGTTGAAATCTTTGTCAAAGATGAAATATTAAATATCAGTTTTGACCTTTTTTTTTAAAAAAAATCCAGTAGGAAACTATAAAAGGAAACTAAGCCTTGGTCTACACTAGGACTTTAGGTCGAATTTAGCAGCGTTAAATCGATGTAAACCTGCACCCGTCCACACAATGAAGCCCTTTATTTCGACTTAAAGGACTCTTAAAATCAATTTCCTTACTCCACCCCAACAAGTGGATTAGCATTTAAATCGGCCTTGCCGGGTCGAATTTGGGGTACTGTGGACACAATTCGATGGTATTGGCCTCCGGGAGCTATCCCAGAGTGCTCCATTGTGACTGCTCTGGACAGCACTCTCAACTCAGATGCACTGGCCAGGTAGACAGGAAAAGAACTGCGAACTTTTGCATCTCCTTTCCTGTTTGGCCAGCGTGGCAAGCTGCAGGTGACCATGCAGAGCTCATCAGCAGAGGTGACCATGATGGAGTCCCAGAATCGCAAAAGAGCTGCAGCATGGACTGAACGGGAGGTACGGGATCTGATCGCTGTATGGGGAGAGGAATCCGTGCTATCAGAACTCCGTTCCAGTTTTTGAAATACCAAAACCTTTGTCAAAATCTCCCAGGGCATGAAGGACAGAGGCCATAACAGGGACCCGAAGCAGTGCCGCGTGAAACTTAAGGAGCTGAGGCAAGCCTACCAGAAAACCGGAGGGGCGAACAGCCGCTCCGGGTCAGAGCCCCAAACATGCCGCTTCTATGATGAGCTGCATGCCATTTTAGGGGGTTCAGCCACCACTACCCCAGCCGTGTTGTTTGACTCCTTCAATGGAGATGGAGGCAACACGGAAGCAGGTTTTGGGGACGAAGAAGAAGATGATGATGATGATGACGAGGTTGTAGATAGCTCACAGCAAGCAAGCGGAGAAACCGCTTTTCCCGACAGCCAGGAACTGTTTCTCACCCTGGACCTGGAGCCAGTACCCCCCGAACCCACAAGGCTGCTTCCTGGACCCGGCAGGCGGAGAAGGGACCTCCGGTGAGTGTACCTTTTAAAATTCTATACATGGCTTAAAAGCAAGCATGTGAAAGGATTAATTTGCCCTGGCATTTGCGGCTCTCCTGGATGTACTCCCAAAGCCTTTGCAAAAGGTTTCTGGGGAGGGCAGCCTTATTGCGTCCTTCATGGTAGGACACTTTACCACTCCAGGCCAGTAACACGTACTCGGGAATCATTGTACAACAAAGCATTGCAGTGTATGTTTCCTGGCGTTCAAACAACATCCATTCTTTATCTCTCTGTGTTATCCTCAGGAGAGTGAGATATCATTCATGGTCACCTGGTTGAAATAGGGTGCTTTTCTTCAGGGGACACTCAGAGGAGCCCGTTCCTGCTGGGCTGTTTGCCTGCGGCTGAACAGAAATGTTCCCCGCTGTTAGCCACGGGGAGGGGGGAGGGTTGAGGGGGTAGCCACGTGGTGGGGGAGGCAAAATGCGACCTTGTAACGAAAGCACATGTACTATGTATGTAATGTTAACAGCAAGGTTTACCCTGAAAGACTGTAGCCACTGTTTTATAAAATGTGTCTTTTTAAATACTGCTGTCCCTTTTTTTTTCTCCACCAGCTACATGTGTTTCAAGGATCACAGGATCTTCTCCTTCCCAGAGGCTAGTGAAGATTAGAAAGAAAAAAAAATGCACTCGTGATGAAATGTTCTCTGAGCTCATGCTGTCCTCCCACACTGACAGAGCACAGACCAATGCGTGGAGGCACATAATGTCAGAGTGCAGGAAAGCACAAAATGACCGGGAGGAGAGGTGGTGGGCTGAAGAGAGTAAGTGGCAGGCTGAAGAGAGTAAGTGGCGGGCTGAAGACAGGGCTGAAGCTCAAATGTGGTGGCAGCGTGATGAGAGGAGGCAGGATTCAATGCTGAAGCTGCTGGAGGATCAAACCAGTATGCTCCAGTGTATGGTTGAGCTGCAGCAAAGGCAGCTGGAGCACAGACTGCCACTACAGCCCCTGTGTAACCAACCGCCCTCCTCCCCAAGTTCCATAGCCTCCACACCCAGACGCCCAAGAACACGGTGGGGGGCCACCGGCCAACCAGCCACTCCGCCACAGAGGATTGCCCCCAAAAAAGAAGGCTGGCTTTCAATAAATTTTAAAGTTGTAAACTTTTAAAGTGCTGTGCTTAAAGTGCTGGGTGGCATTTTCCTTCCCTCCTCCACCACCCCTCTTGGGCTACCTTGGTATTCATCCCCCTATTTGTGTGATGAATGAATAAAGAATGCATGAATGTGAAGCAACAATGACTTTATTGCCTCTGCAAGCGGTGATTGAAGGGAGGAGGGGAGGGTGGTTAGCTTAAAGGGAAGTAGAGTGAACCAAGGGGCGGCGGGTTTCATCAAGGAGAAACAAACAGAACTTTCACACCGTAGCCTGGCCAGTCATGAAACTGGTTTTCAAAGCTTCTCTGATGCGTACCGCGCCCTCCTGTGCTCTTCTAACCGCCCTGGTGTCTGGCTGCACGTAACCAGCAGCCAGGCGATTTGCCTCAACCTCCCACCCCGCCATAAACATGTCCCCCTTACTCTCACAGATATTGTGGAGCACACAGCAAGCAGTGGGAATATTGGTTTCGCTAAGGTCTAACCGAGTCAGTAAACTGCGCCAGCGCGCCTTTAAACGTCCAAATGCACATTCTACCACCATTCTGCACTTGCTCAGCCTGTAGTTGAACAGCTCCTGACTACTGTCCAGGCTGCCTGTGTACGGCTTCATGAGCCATGGCATTAAGGGTAGGCTGGGTGCCCACGGATACATATAGGCATTTCAACATCCCCAACAGTTATTTTCTGGTCTGGGAATAAAGTCCCTTCCTGCAGCTTTTGAAACAGACCAGAGTTCCTGAAGATGCGAGCGTCATGTACCTTTCCCGGCCATCCCACGTTGATGTTGGTGAAACGTCCCTTGTGATCCACCCGAGCTTGCAGCACTATTGAAAAGTACCCCTTGTGGTTTATGTACTCGCCGGCTTGGTGCTCCTGTGCCAAGATAGGGATATGGGTTCCGGTGCCAAGATAGGGATATGGCCCCACCACAGTTAGGGAATCCCATTGCAGCAAAGCCATCCACTATGACCTGCACATTTCCCAGGGTCACTACCCTTGATATCAGCAGATCTTTGATTGTGTGGGCTACGTGCATCACAGCAGCCCCCACAGTAGATTTGCCCACTCCAAATTGATTCCCAACTGACCGGTAGCTGTCTGGCGTTGCAAGCTTCCACAGGGCTATCGCCACTTGCTTCTCAACTGTGAGGGCTGCTCTCATCTTGGTATTCATGTGCTTCAGGGCAGGGGAAAGCAAGTCACAAAGTTCCATGAAAGTGTCCTTACGCATGCGAAAGTTTTGCAGCCGCTGGGAATCGTCCCAGACCTGCAACACTATGCGGTCACACCAGTCTGTGCTTGTTTCCCAAGCCCAGAATCGGCATTCCACAGCATGAACCTGCCCCCTGCACCATGATGCATGCATTGGCAGGGCCCATGCTTTCAGAGAAATCTGTGTCCATGTCCTGATCACTCACGCGACCGCGCTGACGTCGCCTACTCGCCCGGTATCGCTCTGCCAGGTTCTGGTGCTGCATATACCTCTGGATAATGCATGTGGTGTTTAATGTGCTCCTAATTGCCAAAGTGAGCTGAGCGGCCTCCATGCTTACCTTGGTACGGCGTCCGCTCAGAAAAAAGGGGCGGAATGATTGTCTGCCGTTGCTCTGACAGAGGGAGGGGCGACTGAAGACATGGCTTACAGGGTTGGCTTCAGGGAGCTAAAATCAACAAAGGGGGTGGCTTTACATCAAGGAGTATTTCAGGCAGGACTTCACGGAGGGTTCCAATAAGAAATGGTGCACCTAAGTTATTGTTCTTATTGGAACAAGGAGGTTAGTCTGGCCTCTGATTGATACATGGCTAGATTTACGTCGCTGCACCTTCCCTGTGAGTGACTGCAGTGTGACCTAGAGGAATGAGTCCCCTAGACGGGGGAGGGGGGGAAGCAAATGAGTACAAAACAAATCTGGTCTATTTCTTGTTTTGATCCACTCCATCTATCTTTTACATCTTTGGCTGGCAGCAGACGGTGCAGAAGGACTGCATGCCATCCACATCTCATGGCTGCCCGGCAGAAGATGATGCAATAGGACTGCTAGCAATCCATATCGCCTGCCTGCTCACCGTAAGACGGTTCAATAGGACTGACTGCAGGACTAAAGAGAATGACCTGGTCAAGTCACTCCAAATTTAGTCCCTGTGCCCATGTCTGCCCAGGCGCTCCTGGCCGACATGGCCAGGAGCACCTCAGACATGACGATGACGGCTACCAGTCGTATTGTACCGTCTGCTGCCACAAGGCAAGGGGTTGCTGTTACTGTGTAGCAATGCAGTACCACGTCTGCCAGCACCCAGGAGACATACGGTGACGGTTACCTGAGCGGGCTCCATGCTTGCCATGGTATGGAGTCTGCACAGGTAACTCAGGAAAAAAGGCACGAAACGATTGTCTGCCCTTGCTTTCACGGAGGGAGGGAGGGAACGGGGGCCTGACGATATGTACCCAGAACCACACGCGACAATGTTTTAGCCCCATCAGGCATTGGGATCTCAACCCAGAATTCCAATGGGCAGCGGAGACTGCGGGAACTGTGGGATAGCTACCCACAGTGCAACACTCCGGAAGTCGACTCTAGCCTCGGTATTGTGGAAGCACTCCGCCGAGTTAATTCACTTAATGCACTTAGAGCATTTTCTGTGGGGACACACACACTCGAATATATAAAACCGATTTCTAAAAAACCGACTTCTATAAATTCGACCTAATTTCGTAGTGTAGACATACCCTAACAAAGAAAAAACAGTGTAAGATGACACTTTATTTCATTTTTTAGAAACCAAAACATATCATTTTTCTATTTTTGGTGTTTGAATTTTCACTGCATTTCACAATCTCTCTCTCCCTTTTGTACTCATCGTCCTCTTTTTTTTAACTCACTGGGGAAAGTCGCATGTGGAAGAATATAAAAAGATGTGAGAAAAGTGGAGTAAATCCCAATTTTCAAACTTATTTTACTATTTTTCAACTAGAAAAAGTTGGGCATTTTTCCCACCAAAATTTGTGATTTTCTGATCTTCTCTAATAAAAATTTAAAACAGCCAGTCTAAGAACTTTTGCCATGAATTAAAATAGAATAAATAACTAAATAAAAAAAGTCTGCAGAACACAAAACATCCTCACATTCAGCAGCACACACAAAGAGATGCAGTTTGCCTTGTGCTGTAAAAGTCCTTACAGCGGGTTATTTTAGAGCAATGCAGGAAGCTAGTTCTGGAGTTGATGAAGAAGACTCCACTCTAGAGAGTCCCATCCAGAACAAACTTGAGGACCTGAGCTCTGACGCCAGTGTGCTATGAGAACAGAAACTGGCATACCTTTTATTACTTTTTCATTTTCCGTTTTGCTGCCAATGGCACTTCCCCACAAACCTGAAAACAAGAAGGAAAAGAGTATAAAAGGATTTGAAGCTGTTTACTTACACAGGTTCTACTTAGGGTTGATCATAACAGTATTTTCTTCACATTATTTTTTTATAGAAAATTGGGGTTTTTGTCAAAATGAAAATGTCAAGTAAAATGTCTGCTTTCATGAAAAGGGTTTTTTTCATTAGAAACTTTTTTTATTTTTTATTTTATGTATTAATTTATTTATGTATTGGCTGAAAACTGAAATGTTTTTTGGTTTTCAAAAGGATTTGGTTTTCACTGCTTTTGCGCTGAACATTTTTATTGTGAGGGGTTTTCTTTTCCTTTCTTTTCTGAAAAGTCAAAAAATTTCCACTGAACATTTTCACAGTATTTAAAAAAAATATTATCCCATTTTCCAGAGTGTGGGGAGAGAAATCCCCAAAATTACTAGTTCCATGGTAAGAACCATTCTGCTATGTAAGGAGGACTCTAGTTTGGGTCAAGAAATACAAGCAAAGAAACACATACCATAGATCATAAAGTCCTGCAGTCATAGACCTTGAGGCAGAAGGGACCATGAGATCATCAAATCTCACCTCCTGCAAACCACTAGACAGAAACACTACCCAAGATCCACACACTAAACCCAGCAACCAGAATTAAACAAAAGTCTCACAATCCCCAGAAGACCAAACTGTGAGAACATGTAATGGTTCCATATTGCGACCACATATGGGAGTGTGGTAATTAAGGTTATTCATTAATTAGATTCCTCACCAGTATCCAATGGACTGTCCTCCAGATGGCCCAAAATGTAGCAAAGGGTCAAATTGTGACCTCAGTTACACTACTGTAAACCACAAGATTATCTATTCAAGTCAATGAAGTTACTCTGAGGTGTAACAGAGTAGAAATTGGCCCATTTCCTTTAGAGAGCAATAAAAAATTACTGCTTGGATTTACACAGGAGCTTAAGGTAATTAGATGCCCAATTCCCAATGAAATTGGGATTTGGGCACCTAACTCCTTTTAAAATCCCTAGAAGGTAAGGCTGGGTTTTCAAATGAGCAGAAAAGGCCAAGCAACACAAACATGGGTGATCAACTCAGGCTATATCTACACTATAGACCTTAGAGACCTTAGAGCGACCTTAGAGAGACACAGCTGTACTGCTGCAGCCATGTTGCTGTAAGGTCTCCCATGTAGCTGCTGTATGCCGATGGGACAGCTCTCTTCCGTCGGCATAAACCATGAACATAGCACTGTCCACACAGGTAGTTTTGTTGTTGAAACTTACATTGGTCATAGGGATTTTTTTTCCACATCCTGACAGACAAAAGTTTTACCAACAAAAGTTTTACCAACAAAAGTGCTAGCGCTACCAACAAAAGTGATAGCTTCAAAGGAGGCAGAATGGTCTACTTAATTGGGCACCACTCTGAGAATCAGGATACCTTGGTTCCTAAACCTTATCTCCCGTTACTGCACCGAGTGACTTCCCAGTTGTGACTTGAGTCATTTTCCCTTCCTATGTCATTTTTCCCCACCTGTACAATGCACATATTGATAATCAGAAAAAGTGCTTTAAGAGCTATGGATGAAAAGTGCTAAAGTTGGTTGAGATTTTCTGCTGAAACACTTGTGGAGAAAATTCCATTCGATCAAACCTAAACTGTTGATCGAAAAGAGTCAGTTTGGATGAATTTTTTACATGATTTTTTTTTTTGAATAAAGTTTCAAATTGTTTCATTTTTACTTTTTTATAAACAAAAACTGTTTTTTGTTTTTTCTTTAAAAAGAACACTTTAAAATTTAATTTAATTATAGTAAAGAAAAAGTAAAAAATAAAAAGGGTCAAAACTGAAATGAAACATTTGAAATTAATTGCAGAGAAATGCAAAGTTATGCACTTTGCAAAAAATAATCCCAACTATATGTACAAAATTATGGGATCTAAATTAGCTGTTACCACTCAAGAAAGAGCTCTTTGAGCCATTGTGGATAATTCTCTGAAAAGATCCACTCAGTGTACAGTGGCAGTCATAAAAGCTAACAGACTGTTGGGATTCATTAGGAAAGGGCTAGATAAGACAGAAAGTATCAAATGCCACTATATAAATCCATGGTACACTCACACCGTGAATACTGTGTGCAGTTCTGGTCCCTCCATCTCAAAAAATATATATTAGAATTGTAAAAAGTACAGAGAAGAGCAACAAAAATGATTAAGGATATGGAACAGATACAGTATGAGTAAAGATTAAAAGGACTGGGACTTTTCAGCTTGGAAAAGAGGTGACTAAGAGGGGTATGTTAGAATTCTATAAAATCATGAATGGTCTGGAGAAAGTGAATAAGGAAGTGTTATTTATCTGTGCACATGACACAAGAACCAGGGGACCCCCTATGAAATTAATAGGCAGCAAGTTTAAAACAAAAACACAACACACAATCAACCTGTGGAACTTGTTGTTGGGGGATCTTGTGAAAGCCAAAAGTATAACGGGATTTAAAGAAGATTTCAATAAGTTCATGGAGGAGATGTCCATCAATGGCTATTAGTCATGATGGGTAGGGATGCAATCCCACACTCTGGGTGTCCCTAGCCTCTGATTGCCAGAAGCTGGGTGTGGACAATAGGAAGACAAATCACTCAATGATTGACTATTCTGTTCATTCTCTCTGAAGCACCTGGCATTGGTCACTGTCGAAAGACAGTGGATACGAGGCTAGATGGACCTACTAGTCCAGATGGACCTTTGGTCTGACTCATTGTGGCTGTTTTTATATTCTCATTTAAATGAAATATTTTGACACACCTGAACCAAAACATTTTTTTTATTTTCAGTTTGTGAAAAAAAATAATTTGTTTTTTTGTTCTGATTTAGGAAAGGAATTTCTTTTGATTCTCAAAATTTTTTATGGCTTATGAAAACTGGTTTTTACCCCACTCAACTGTCTACATAAAAGCTCTCTAATATATGTAAATATTTCTCCATTTTAGTATTCCATGGTTTATTTCCGATATCTATGCATCTAACCAGGCTCAATTGTGTCAATTGTCTCCATCTCCTAAGAAGAAGGGGCATGATCATTCACCTTGTAGGTAACTCATGCTTTTCTCTTCTTTCTGCTTCTTTAGTTCTCCATTCTTGTATTCACTTCCAAAGTATTCCATGGGTACACTTGCTGTAAAGGGAAAGTTTTTCACCCACCTCATGTAACATTCCATAGACCACAGTGTAGGCCCAGAACTCAGTCAGGGAGTAATTTTCATCTTTAGCCGCCTCGAGTAGCATTTTCGTTGCCTTTGGGATGCTCCAGGTGTATTTGGAAAGTCTAGCACACATACTTTCCTCCAAGGCCTGCAATTTCTCTGCCCAGTCCCCATTTTTGTAGAGAGATGACATACACCTATTACAGAGACAAAACACACATTGCAAGGGGAACAGGATATGGGCAATTTCCCCCAGCCCTTTCAATGTCTGCATAATTATTTATTAGAATATTTTCACTTATTGTTCTATCATGGCAATGCATTTGTAACCCCCAAGGATCACATGGCTGTCTGGATGGCTGCTGTGGAAAGCCACAGCATCAGCAGAGATAAAATCCAAATCCCCCAGGTCCTTACCAGGTTGAGCAAATGGGGAATCTCCATTAGCAATACACAGGGTCCATGATACCGAGTTTGAACAGCTCTGGTTACATTCAGGATATTTGTAACATCCACAGATCTGTCCTGCCCATGATGACTCTTTCACCCTAACATTGACTTCAGTGGGACTATTTGTGCAGAAAGTTTGGGAGGGGAAGAATGGTTCAGTGGTTAGGAAACTTGCCTAGAACTCAGGAAATGTGGGTTCTGCTCCCTGCTCTCCCAGAGATTGTAACGTTGGTTCCCCATAGGAAAAGGGGGATACAGGCACTTTCCTAACTCACAGGGGTGTTATGGAGATAAATACAGTGGTGCTCAGATACTATGTTAATGTGGGACAGATAAGTAATTATGATAATTAGGAAGTCACCCACTGGTATCAGTCTCCCATTGAATTGCATCACCAATGGAATGCCTAACTCCCTTAGGGTCCTGTGTCAACTGCTACTCATTGTGAGCAAGGCTATCAGTAAGTGGCCCTGTTAGATTAGCTGGATGTTCTGAAGGACACAGTCTCCTTTTCCATTGAGAAACTAACTCTCCACCCTATCCTACAAACTTGCGACCATTGTTGTCTCTTTTGCACCTGGTTATCCCCATCTTGTGTTACACCCTGTCACTTGTTCCAGTTTAACAAACACCAGTTATGTGCATTTCTCACTTTTCCTATGGCGCAAACCATTGTTCACACTCTGCCTCTCTTTAACCACAACTAAAATAACAGTCTCTCGACTGGAGAAAAAGGGACAAAGAAGGTAGTAGGCACTGTTCTGCTATCCTGATTTCAGCACTAATGCAAACTACAAGTATGCCAAAAGTCACGTCAGGTCACAGAAAATCCCAAGTTTGGCTTAAAAATCATGAGATTTATTTTAAAAACTTGGGTTCCTTTCACTTGCCTTCTGTCATTTGAGCTGGTAGGGTTCACATTTCCAAGCTTTTCTCCACAACCACCAGAGACAGACATGTATGCTTCATAAAATAATGAAAGCTGACGCCTGGTTTACACTAGACTGTTAGGCCAGCATGACTGTGTTGCTCAAGGGGTGAAAAATCCACACTTCGGAGTGCCATATTTAAGCTAACTTAAGTCCCTATGTAGGCAGCGCTAGGTGGATGGAAGAATTCTTCTGCCAGCTTAGCTATGGCCTGTCAAGGAGCTGGATTAGCTGTACTGTCGGGAGAACCCCTCCCTCCAGTGTAGGTAGTGTCTACACTGAAGCACTACAGCAGCTAAACTGCAGTGGCACAGCTGTGCCTCTATAGCCTCGATGAGCTGTGAGACTCACAAAAATCACATGACTGATGGAGCTTGGGCTCTAAGGGAAACACCAGAATTCAAGAGATTCACAATGACACTGTACGAGTTATAAATACTAAATTAGAACTATAGGGCTGGGCCCCTGTCACTTTTGCCCATGTAGAAATCTTAGAAGGGTCAGACTTAAAAGGCATGTACATACAGCAATGTTAGTATAAATCAGGTTAGCAGGCTCTGGATCTGTTAACCTGGGACTTGAGCATCTAGACTCATGTGTAACCCCAGGTTTGGAATTGTTAAACTCCTGGTCACAACCTGGGGCTCTAGAGTCTACACTGCATTATGAGGGACTGAATTCAGCCACCCATATCCCAGACTTTCTAGCACCCTCCCAAAACGTGGCTGCATTAGCCCTTTGTTCTTGCTTCAATATGGGAAAACTTCACGGTCTACCAAATTTGACTGTCAAGAGGACAAAGGAAGTTGGCCTGTGGGTCATCTTTGGTTGACTCCCAGAGCATGAGTCCAGTGGGACTGTGTCTACACTGCAAAGCAATTAGTCCTGAATCCTGGTCCTCACCTGACTCATGCTCAGACCCTCCACCCTCATGGAGTCCTAGGATCCTTGCTCTGGGTTTGCATGATTTGTGTGTAGATGGAAGAGGTATTGAGTTTGAGTCTGAGTTTGAACCCTGGGCTTACATTGCAATGTATGTAGGCCAAGGCCTTTCTGTAGTAAGAAGCAACAGCCATAGGACAACAGCCACCAGGAGCTAAGAACCAGGGAGTCATGTCCCATCTAATTTGCATCAAAAAATTTAATATTGGGTTGTTAAGAAGGCACTCCTGTCCTAATAGTACCCATCATTGCCAGATAAATAAACAGATCTTAGGATGCTTATAGACAACTTTGTTTTATAGTATTCGGTCTGGCAAGAAATCACTTACCAACAGTTGTGATAGTGAAATCTATATTTCTATTGTTTTGCCATTATGGTCCCTACTTCTCTATTGTTTCTCTGTATGGCCTCTGTCTATTTCTTTAATTGTTTCTGTATGTTGCATAAATAATTTTGAAAGATTTAAATCAACTAAGGTGATGGGGTATGATTGGTTAAATAATTGTTTCATAATGGACCAGGATTGGTGAAAAATACTGTTTAGTTTAAAATGATTGGTTTAGGTACAGGTAAGTAGGACCCAAGTTTTAACCATATAAACTGAGGTCCAAAGGGAAGTTCTTTGGAACCTAACTCCAGGACACAGCTCAAGATCAGAGATGACAGACCTCAGCACTCTACTGACCATACCGTGCAGAAGCTGGAGCCCTGAAACTTCTAATCTTGACTGGCCATCAAGAAATGTTCATTTGCCTTATTAGGAGTGGTGAGAATTGTATGCGTAGCTTGTGTATTCTGTTTTGGTAACTGTTCATAAATAGAAGTTAAGGATATTACTGTGTAAGGTTCTTTTACTGGTAAAAAGGTCCTATAAACCCACTGAAGATTATTCCCTGGACCCAAGACGGGTAAGGGAGGGTACATAAATTGACTAGGTTTCGCTCTGAGCCCAGGACAGGTAAGCATGGGTGCCTTATCCCGCAAGCCCAGGATGGAAAAGTTTGGGGTGACTAAATTAACTGGGTTATGCCTTGAGCCCATGGTAGGGTAAAGGTATGGTGCCCTAGATTGTGCGGGTAACATGTTGGCATACTCACCCATTCTCATCTCCTCAGGAAATGGACAGACAGTTTTCTCCTATTGATGATGAAGTACCCAGCGTATCCTTTCGTTAATTATAACAATAGCAATAATTTCCCCTGGTTGTCAGTTCTACAGAGGGACACACTTTCATTCACCACATCTCTTGACATGCACCTACCAAGTGGAACCTGAGACCCCGCACAGGTACATGATGGTGTCCAAGAGACTATGCTTTTGTAGCTCCTGCAGGGTTCCATGAAGGGCGATCATGGCCCGCAGACCTCCACCAGCTCCCAGGATGGCGATATTGGGCACATCATCCTGAGGAAGGGAAAAGACTCAACAACATATAAACTGGGATTACTGAGGAACCGCCATTGCTCATCTAAGTTACTTTCACGGCATCTGCAGTCAAACACCTCCCATTCCCACCTAGGATATCCCCCATCATGGAATTTGAAAGAATATTTTGTAGGATCCAATTCTGCAAGCATTTACATTTGGGAGTGTCTTTATTTACACTTCTTTATTTACACTAAAAAGAAAAGGAGTACTTGTGGCACCTTAGAGACTAACCAATTTATTTGAGCATGAGCTTTCGTGAGCTACAGCTCACTTCATCGGATGCATACCGTGGATTCCGATGTGGAATCCGATGAAGTGAGCTGTAGCTCACGAAAGCTCATGCTCAAATAAATTGGTTAGTCTCTAAGGTGCCACAAGTACTCCTTTTCTTTTTGCAAATACAGACTAACACGGCTGTTACTCTGAATCCTGTCTTTATTTACACTGATTTGAATGAGACAACTTCCATGAGTAACTTTATTCACAAGCTTTCCTGAATTCTACTTCTTCAAGAATAACTCCAATAGCTGTTATAATAGATGATGTGTGTGTATACTATGTATTCCATGTAGCATAACTACTGTTAATTATTAGAACTGCTGGAAAATTTTTGAACAAGGTTTTTTGTTTTGTTTTGTTTTGGAGTTTGGGGGATGAAAAATATCTTTTTTATTAAAAGGAACATTTTTATTGATATTTGTTAGGGTTTTGCCCAAAACCTGGAAAAAATCATTGTTTAACAATAAAAAACTGCCATATGTATATACGCACACACCTCATACAATATACTTAGTTTTAGGAAACAGAAAAAATCAGGTTTTAGGTTTTAAAAGAATCTGTGAAAAAATTCAATATAAATGATTTTTTTTCTTTTTTCCCTCTGAAAATAAAATATATTTCCCAGCCTGTTCTATCCATCATTTATATTTAAACGTGTATTTAAGTTCATCCCAATTCAGCAAAGCACTTAAACATGCACTTAATTTTAGCCACTCACTTAAGTCCCATTTATTTCAGTTTGTTTTATTCTAAAAGCCTTTAAAATAAAACCAGAAAACAAAACAAACAAAAACATAAAATAAAATAAAAAACCCAACAACCCATAACTTTTTGATGAACATATTTTCACCAGCTCTGTATGAGTATTCGTTACCATTGTCAATGTGCTATATATTCCTCTACAATTCTGTAAGACATTAATTGACTCCTACCAGATTACAGGGAATCCCCAGGCTATCCAGGCATTTCTTCACCTGCACCTTTCTGTTGCTTGTTCCTAATTTTTCCCCTTCTGAGAGCTCACGGGAAATTCGGATTTTACCTTCACTCTGTGGAAAAAAATGTCAAGAGAATGTATCATCTCTCAAAAATCTGTAAGAGATGGGACAATCTACAGAGATCCAGAAAATCCATTAAAGCATGTTCCAGGTGGAACCCAGAGCCCGTTTAGAGAGATTTCAGACATTTCTCCTACACTGGAACAACATGGGGGGAAAACTCTGTGAGGAGAAAGAAACACAAAGTGGGTAAGGGGATATTTTTTACTGGACCAACTTCTGTTGGTGAGAAAGACAAGCTTTCAAGCTCCACAGAGCTCTTCAGATCTGGGAAAGGTACTCAGAGTGTCGCAGCTAAATACAAGGTGATACAGCTTGTTAAACATAAGGACTTAACATGTTACCAGAAATCATTCAAAATCTAATATCCTGGGACCAACATGGCTACAACTACAATGAAAACAGCTGAGAAACTCATAGACACTTCCGAACATTTGAGCCCTCCTCATCCAGGCCAGACTGAGCTGAGCTGTTTCTTTTTATCTGCTCCCTCTATTGGAAGCATGCCCAGCAAGAGTGAGGGGGTGGAGCCTCTTGGGCCCAAAGCAGTTTCTTAACCCCTGCATTACCAGTGCTGGGTTGATACACCCCATCACACAGGGTAAATAGGAAATAAGTACTGGTCAAAATGAACCTTACAGTTCAGAGGATGTATTTTAGGTGCTCCCAAATATAGCAAGATTGGGCCCGAGTCTGTATTGCATAGCTACAATGAAACAATGTGGCATTGTCTTTGAATAAATGGAGCAAATGAACTTCAGAATAGTTTTGAAAAAAAAAGCTGGAGATGAAATTATTTGGTCATGCTTCATATTATAATTAGTTAATAAATGGTTAATAGATGTTATAAGCTCATGAAAGACAGGAGTAGTGTGCATTATAGATAAGCACATCAGTAAAAGATATTATGGGTGCTTATACCCCAAGACTAAAACCACCTGTTGAGCGGTTGTACCCTATAATAATTGATTAGCCATTTATTTAAAAAATCTATTTATCATTTATGAACTCTTTATGAGCTGTTTGTGAATGTACCCTTCATATGAAGTGTGATGAAGCATTTCCAAGACAATAGGTAGTGAAACTGCAAAATGTAAGAGGAATGGTATACCTTGTGTTTATGAAATATTTCCATCTTTGCTTTCCTGTTTGCCCTGTAATTTTAAATTCCTCTGCCAGTGAAAAAGGAAAGCTCCACCTCTTTCAGGAAATCCAAAAGCTCAGGCCAACATCTAATTTATTCTTCCTTTACCTTAAAGTATACGAGAGAAAATGAACATTTAATATAGTGACATAGGAAGTGCTGAAATACTGGATCAGACTCTAGGTCCTAATTACCTGAATGATATTGCTTAATAATTGGAGGTGCAGGAGGATAGATAGATAGATAGATAGATAGATAGATAGATCAGTCCTAGGATTTTCAAGCCAACCTAATTAATTTTTCCAGACACCCAACTGCTTTTGAATTTAAACTGGACTTGGGCTCCCATTTCTTATAGGTTCTGCTGAACATTCTTGTCATGTTACTAATGTATTTTCCTCTTGCTATAAAGGAACAGAGACATCATACATTCACATAGCTCCAATTCTTTTAAAGTTAGCTATAAACAAATAAAATAAGCCCACTCCAATGTTGTCATTGGCACTGTTTTTTGACAAATCCTCTCAAGAAAGCATACGCATGGAATTGACCCAAGAGAGGATTGTGGATCACAGCTGGCACTGTTCCTTTCAGAGGACGTCAGGATAATTTAGTGGGTGTTGGTCCTGCTTTGAGCAGGGGGTTGGACTAGATGACCTCCTGAGGTCTCTTCCAACCCTAATCTTCTACGATTCTATGATACACATCTATAATGATGCTGTAACCCTGAAAAATAGTCTTTGATGCCCCTGGAATAGCCTATCACCCTCTTAATCTGCCTTTCCCAAGGTATAGGCCTCCAGGTTAGTCAAGGAAAACACTTGGAGGACAGGGGGAGGGATAGCTCAGTGGTTTGAGCAGTGGCCTGCTAAACCCAGGCCTGTGAGTTCAATCCTTGAGGGGGCCATTTAGAGACCTGGGGCAAATAAAATTGGGGATTGTGCCTGCTTTGAGCAGGGGGTTGGACTAAATGACCTCCTGAGGTCCCTTCCAACTCTGATATTCTATGACATGTATGTAACCTTCTGATAAAGTGATTGACACAGGCAGTATTCTTTTCAAAACAAAGTATATTTTTATTAATGCAACTCAGGGGTCTCAAACTCAAATGACCACGAGGGCCACATGAGAACTAGTACATTGGCCCGAGGGCCGCACCACTGTCCACCCCCCACCCACTGCCCTGTCCCCGCCCCCACTCCATCCCTTCCGTGAGGCCCCACCTCTTCCCACCCCTTCCCTGCCCCCATTCCAACCCCTTCCCTGAAATCCCCACCCCAACTCTGCCCCCTCCCTGCCCCCAGGGGGTGCAGGAGGGGTGCAGGGTGCGGCAGGGGGTTGGGGTACAGGAGGGGTGCAGGGTGCATCAGGGGCCTCAGGGCAGGGGGTTGGGGTGCTGGGTGGGGCAGGGGGACAGGGTGTAGGGTGCGGCAGGAGGCTCAGGGCAGGGGGTTGGGGTGCAGGAGGGGTGTGGGTTGCAGCAGGGGACTCAGGACAGGGGGTCGGGGTGCAGGAGAGGTGTGGGGTGCAGCAGGGGGCTCAGGGCAGGGGGTTCGGCTGCAGGAGGAGTTCGGGGGGCGGGTCCGGCCCGGTGCGCACCGGGGGCAGGGCAGGCTCCCTGCCTGCCTGCCTGTCCTGCCCCTGCGCCACTCCGGGAAGCGGCCAGGACCTGGGGGGCACAGGGATCTGTGTGTTGCCCTGAACGCTCCTCCAGGTACCTCCCCCGAAGCTCCCATTGGCCGGAAACTGGGAACCGTGGCCAATGGGAGCTTCGGGGGAGGTACCTGGAGGAGCGACCAGGGCAACACACAGACCCCTGTGCCCCCCCTCCTCCAGCTCCCAGCCGCTTCCCAGAGTGGCACAGGGGCAGGGCAGGACTGTAACAAATCATTGACTGCAATTCTTAACTTTTCTGCAATACTATAATTAAAAACTAGCAGGCTTACTCTATCCTTTGGCTTTGACGTATTATTTGCTTGTTTCTATCTGCTGCTTGCTTCTTCTGCTTCTTCCTAGTCAGCTCTGGTCAGTCAGCTCTGCTCCTCTGTCTGTTGTCAGATCTCTCAGGAGCCTTTAACTTCTTTCCAGCAGCTCTTCTGGCAAGCACCTCCTTGTCTTCTGTCTGTCGATAGTCTGCCTTTTATACTGTCCTAGGCTTCAGTTCTTTTATATGAGCTATTCTTAACCTTAGATAGCATATGCTCATTGTCAGGCATTAACTCATCCTTGGATGCTGCCAGAGGTCCACACATGTTTCCCATTGTTTACTTCAGAGCTATGACCTTCCCAACTGGGCTTTTTGTCAAGGCACCAGCTTGGAACCCCTTGGCTTTTTGCTAATGACCTTTAGTAACCCTTAGAATCTTCTACTTGGCCTGCTCCACCTAGAAACACTTAGTAGCTGTACCTCATTCTACGCTGAGCTCTGGTCATGTGACCTGTACCATCCAATGGTAAGTGACTGCAGCTTATAGGTGGCAAAGTGACTCCTGCTTATTCAAGAGAGAAACCAGGGACACAGAATGGAGGTTAAGAACACAAAATAGAATCTGGGGAATTTCTCCAGTATCAACGCCACTCTACCTGGACAACTGCTCACTCTCTATATATATTGCATAGTGCAAGTGCTGAGTCAGATTGTTATCTGTTAGTTTTGATATATGCCATGACATATCTGTTTTATTATGTTTACCAGCATGTTACCTGATAACAACTCAGCATGGCCAGCAACCGTAGCTAACTGCAGAACATTGAATGCAAAGATTCTGGTGCAGTTCATGTAAGGTAAGATCATAGAATCATAGAATACTGGGGTTGGAAGAGACCTCAGGAGGTCATCTAGTCCCATCCCCTGCTCAAAGCAGGACCAACACCAACTAAATCATCTCAGCCAAGGCTTTGTCAAGCCAGGCCTTCAAAACCTCTCAGGATGAAGATTCCACCACCTCCAAAGGTAACCCATTCCAGTGCTTGACCACCCTCCTAGTGCAATAGTGTTTCCTAATATCCAACCTAGACCTCTCCCACTGCAACTTGAGACTGTTGTTTCTTGTTCTGTCATCTGCCACCACTGAGAACAGCCTAGATCCATCCTCTTTGGAACGCCCCCCCCCCCTTTCAGGTAGTTGAAGGCTGCTATCAAATCCCCCCTCACTCTTCTCTTCTGCAGACCAAATAAGCCCAGTTCCCTCAGCCTCTCCTCGTAAGTCATGTGCCCAAGCCCCCTAATAATTTTCCTTGCCCTCCGCTGGACTCTCTCCAATTTATCCACATCCCTTCTGTAGTGGGGGGACTGAAACTGGGCACAATACTGCAGGTCTGGCCTCACCAGTGCTGAATAGAGGGGAATAATCACTTCCCTTGATCTGCTGGCAGTGCTCCTACTAATAGAACCCAATATGCCATTGGCCTTCTTGGCAACAAGGGCACACTGCTGGCTCATAAACAGCTTCTCATCCACTGTAATCCCCAGGTTCTTTTCTGCAGAACTGCTGTTTATCCAGTCAGTCCCCAACCTGCCGTAATTCATGGGATTCTTCCTTCCTAAATGCAGGACTCTGCACTTGTCCTTGTTGAACCTCATCATATTTCTTTTGGACCAATCCTCCAATTTGTCTAGGTCACTCTGGACCCTATCCTTACCCTCTAGCATATCTACCTCTCCCCCCAGCTTAGTGTCATCATTGATAAAGATGTTGAACAAAACCGGCCCCAGGACCGACCCCTGGGGCACTCCGCTTGATAACGGCTACCAACTAGACATTGAGCCGTTGATCACTACCCGTTGAGCCCAACAATCTAGCCAGATTTCTATCCACTTTATAGTATGTTCATCCAATCCATACCTTTTAACTTGCTGTCAAGAATGCTGTGGGAGATTGTATTGCTAAAGTCAAGATATATCACATCCACCACTTTCCCCATATCCACAGAGCCAGTTATCTCATCATAGAAGGCAATCAGGTTGGTCAGGCATGACTTGCCCTTGGTGAATCCATGTTGACTGTTCCTCATCACCTTCCTCTCCTCCAAATGCTTCAAAATTGATTCCTTCAGTATCTGCTCCATGATTTTGCCAGGAACTTAAGTGAGGCTGACCGGTCTGTAGTTCCCTAGGTTCTCTTTCTTCCCTTTTTTAAATATAGGCACTATATTTGCGTTTTTCCAATCATCCAGGACCTCCCCCGATCGCCACGAATTTTCAAAGATAATGGCTGTGCAATCACGTCAGTCAACTCCCTCAGCACCCTTGGATGCATTAGATCTAGACCCATGGACTTGTGCACGTCCAGCTTTTCTAAGTAGTCCATAACCTGCTCTTTCACCACTAAGGGCTGCTCACCTCCTCCCCATACTGTGATGCCCAGTGCAACAATCTGGGGAGTGACCTTGTCAGTGAAGACCGAGGCAAATAAGCATTGAGTACTTCAGCTTTTTCCACATCCTCTGTCACTATGTTGCCTCACCCATTCATTAAGGGTCCCACACTTTCCCTAACCTTCTTCTTGTTGCGAACATACCTGCAGAAACCCTTCTTGTTACCCTTCACATCCCTTTCTAGCTGCAACTCCAATTGTGCCTTGGCCTTCCTGATTACACCCCTGCATGCTCTAGCAACATTTTTATACTCCTCACTAGTCATCTGTCCAAATTTCCACTTCTTGTAAGCTTCCTTTTTGAGTTTAAGCTCAGCAAAGATTTCACTGTTAAGCCAAGCTGGTCACCTGTCATATTTGCTGTTCTTTCTGCACTTCAGGGTGGTTTGTTCCTGCGCTCTCAATAAGACTTTTTTAAAATACAGCCAGCTCTCCTGGACTCCTTTCCCCCTCATATTAGCTTCCCACATGATCCTGCCCATCAGTTCCGTAAGGGAGTCAAAGTCTGCTTTTCTGGTCCAGGGTCCATATTTTTCTACTATCCTTTCTTCCTTTTGTGAGGATCCTGAATTCAACCATTTCATGGTCACTGAGCCTAGGTTGACACCCACTTCT